GGGGGCGGGAACGGGGGCAGTGGGAGGGAGGCACTCCAGCAGAGGGTAGAGCGATAGCTGGTCAGAGACTATTGAAGATTTTCACAGAACCTCAAAGGAAAGATTTGGCAACCAAAGCAAAATCATAGGCAGTCCTGTTGTGCTTTGATTATAAGTCGCAGTGAAAAAACAAACTGTAAACAAGAGAGTCTAAAGAATATTTAAATCACCCATAATCCTATGACTAGCGTTTTGGTATATGTCCTTTTACATTTTTAGATTTCAGAATTTTTTTTCTGTGCGTGTGTGTGTTTATTTAATCATATGTAGATAGATAGATAAAACAAAAGGATAGTGAAATGCATAGTAAATAGTAAAATGTGTCGTAACGTGCCTTTTCATTTATGATATCGTGACTGGTTTTTCCTGTCAGCCGATATAGAACTACATTATTTATAAATGCTACATAGGATTCTATGGAGGGGAACTACCATAATTTACTTAATGAACCCCCTATTGGGTTGTTTACTTTTTTCCCCACCGCTATGAGCAGTTCTGTGACAAGCATCCTCATACATGCATCTTTATATACTTAAACCGTTAACTTTTAGGGAATACCGGGTCACCGTGTAGCCACTGTTTTTAATTTCATGTGGTTCTTGACGTGAATACTCATATACACCCCTCAGCCCTGCCCCAAGGCTGAGGCTTTTCAGTCCTTAGGAAACAAATAGTCCTCCTTAGAACTTGTCTTCATGGGACCAAAGGGAGACAGATGGGCAGGCTGGGGCGGAGACCTTGGCCAGAGGGTGGGGAAGGCACCTGGGCCAGATGTCTGTCTTCTGTTCCCAGCTCAGTGCTGGTGTCATGTGAACCTAAAGGAGTTAATGTACAGCTTTGGTTTCCCAGGCTAGGACCTTGAAGCCTTCTTAAGCCACGTCACACTCCAAGAGGCCGTGGGGAGGTCTTTTGGGAGCAGTGGGAATGGTGCCGTGTCTCCTGACACAGGGTCTGTTCTGTTTCCTTGCCTCAATTCAGCAAGCCTTTGTGGAAGGGCCGTGGTCAGGAAGTGTGAGTAGTCAGTTCAGGAGGAAACACACTGACTGAGACCGCCCACTCTGTCTTGAAGACATTTGCAACCCAAGAGAAGGGCTGGCTCAGGCGTGCGAGCTGCTCTGAGGTGGAGGATGTGCCACCTCAGAAGGTGCTGGGCCTTACAGAGGAGGGGGAGGCCATCCCGGGGGCTGTAGGGTGGGGTGGGCATCAGTGAAACCTTTCTAGAGTAGGTGGCATTTACCTTGAGTCTTGACGGATGGTTGAATTTTGCAGCAGGAGGTGATAGAAGGGCTGAGGAAGGACCAGTGTATGCAAGATACAGAAACAGCAAAGCCCACCCAAAAGTCCCCTGTTGTTGTCCCTGGTTCCCGAAACCCCCTGCTGTCCTGTCTTGACTATTTTCTGAGTAGATCAACTTAGGCGTGAAAGAGCCTCGACGTAACAGCCTGTCTGATGTCCTTGTTATTGATACTCCAGTTTGATCCGGAAGTCTCCTGCGGCTTTCAGGGCAGGGTAGGGCTTGGGCCTGCCTTTGACCCACGTGTCCGGCTGGCCCGAGGGACCCCCCTGCAAAGACTGGGGTGCCAGGGAGGTGACCCAGTGACGGTGCGTTTTGCTGGCTGGCACAGGGCTTCTGGTGCTGAAGGACTTGGGCATTCAGGTGGATCGCTACATCGCTTCCGAGGTGTGCGAGGACTCCATCACGGTGGGCATGGTGCGGCACCAGGGGAAGATCATGTACGTCGGGGACGTCCGCAGCGTCACGCAGAAGCATGTATGTCAGTGCCGCCACGGCCCTGCCCACCTTCTCTACGTCACTTAGCTCCGGGGACAGCGCCAGCTCCTCTCGTCCGTCTGCTCTTCCCCTTCCTCCCCCCTCCCCCGCTGAACTCTCTCCCTCCTTCTCTTCCGTTTCCCTCCTTGTCTCTAGAGGATCGGGGCAGATTCCAGTGGGAATTGGGGGCCAGGCTTCTTGGGCCTGGCTGGTTTCCGGGCCCTCCTGAGTGGAGCGCTGTGGGTTGCAGTGAGGTTCCCATCCTCCCAGTACTGCTGGCGAAAGGTTCGCCAGCCTCCCTTTTGGGGAGGGGGGGATCTGGCGGGATCCTGCCTGAGTGGCCCCTTGCTTTTCCAGTTATCCATGTCGACCTCGAACTACAGGCCCTCAGGCATCCTGAAGGGCATATGGAGGGGTTCAGATGGTCCAGACACCTGCCCAAGGTGCGCAGAGCACAGAGTACCTTTCATTCAGCTGCCCAGCCTGGACCACTGTCCACCCTGAGTGGCTGCTTTTCCTGCTGGGGGCACACTGGTTTCCCCACTGGCCTCAGAGATGGTCCAGTTCAGTCCTTTCCCTTTATTATTTAGGAAACAGCCCAGAGAGCCTCAGTGACTTGCCCGTGGCTGCACTGCGTGTGCGCGCGCGTGTGTGCGTGTATGAATGTATGTGTGTATGTAGAGAGCGTTCAAAGCAGCCGGGTCTCTTCTCTCCCATGCCAAAGTACTTTTTTGCCAAATTCACAGATCATTTCTCTCTCCCTTTCTGCCTCTGTCCCCGGACATCAGGCCCATCACATTACCTTTATCCTCCCAGATCCAGGAGTGGGGCCCGTTCGATCTGGTGATTGGGGGCAGTCCCTGCAATGATCTCTCCATCGTCAACCCTGCCCGCAAGGGACTCTACGGTAGGTGCTGCACTCACCCCTCCGCCTTCTGAGCTGGTGCTTTCGCACGTCAGTTTCCTACTCGGATATTTCTGCCCTGGGACGGCTACTCCCACCGACCCTGTCCTCCCCTGCCCTCCCCGTGCCCGGGCCACATCACTGTCTCCTGCAGACAGCCCCAGCTGATGTCTTTCTCTTCCGACCTCTCAGAGGGCACTGGCCGGCTCTTCTTTGAGTTCTACCGCCTCCTGCATGATGCGCGGCCCAAGGAGGGAGACGATCGCCCCTTCTTCTGGCTCTTTGAGAATGTGGTGGCCATGGGCGTTAGTGACAAGAGGGACATCTCGCGATTTCTCGAGGTATAGCCAGCACCCTTGGTTTGGTCAGCTCACTAATGGCTTCTGCCTTGGACTGCTACTTTACCCCTGTCTCATCCGCATTGTGGAGCTGGGGACTGGTGACTTGCGCTTTGCAAGGGGCCCGTTTGGGGAGCTCTGGGCTTCCCAAGTAGACAGGGAGGAAGCACACCTTGGACAGAACCCGTGGTCTCACTGTAAGAGGTGGTATGTGGGTGTGGGCCTCAGCACTTGGAGGACCTGACTGTTGTAAACAGGGTGGAGTGTCAGACTCCTGGGCTTGGGGGTCTGTGTGGTGTTTCCCTGGGGGAACCTTTGAGATACCAGAAACAATTTTCCCAACCAGAATGGCTTGTCCTCGCTCCCTGGCACCGTGACGGATGCTTTATGGCACCTGGGAAGAAAACACAGCTTATCGCAGTTTCTGTTTCCCACTATGTGGGTCCCAACTTGGCTGAGCCTGGTTTGGGCTGTGCACAGAGGGTTTCTGCAGCCAGAGTCCTTCTTGGGTGGGGCAGCCTGGGAGCCCGAGCCTGTGCTCCCGAGTCTCGGGAGCTGGTGTGTTGGTTCATAATGTGGACGTACTACAGCGAACACATCCACACTCGTTGGAACTTTCTTTCTCAAAGCCTCCGGGTGAGCTGGAGCTGTGTGGTCCAGTGTGGTGGGCATCTGCCATGTGTGGTATTTAAATTGACATTAAAATTCCTCAGTCACACCAGCCCCCTCTCAAGTACTCCGCCATCTGCAGCTGGTGGGCCAGTGGCCACTACATGGAACAGTGCAGATAGAACATTTCCATCATCACAGTGTGGACTGTGCGGGTCTAGACTGTTCCAGTGGGAGCATGTGGAACGTAGCTGGGTTTAATTCCAGCTTTTCCTGGGGCCTTCAGGCTCTCCCAGTGTGGCCTCTCGAGAGAGAAGTAAGAGCCTTTGAGGCTCTAAACTAGCAAATTTCCTAGCACTCTTACATTTCTCTCTCACTCATCTTTAACCTCTGTCCTGTTTTATAGTCCAACCCTGTGATGATTGATGCCAAAGAAGTGTCAGCTGCACACAGGGCCCGCTACTTCTGGGGGAACCTTCCTGGTATGAACAGGTTGGTGAGAGCTCTGTGCCCAGGTGGCCGCGGGTGGGTGTCTGCAGGCAGGATGACGGCCCGAGGAGGGGGCCAGCCTCCCCTGCTGACCAGCTTGCTGCTCTGCCGTGTTCTTCTTTGTTTCCTTTTCCTTGAGGAAGAAGGGGAGTCAGGTGTAGAAAATACTTGCCTGAGAAACCAAGGACTAGTGGTCCCAAATGGGACCTTTAAAAAGCACACTCTTGACACAGAAGAGGACTCATCGTGCTGCTGAGTTATATGGTTGGTTCTCCTACGTTGGTGATGTGTCTAGAGTCAGCTGGTCCCTAGTCTCCTGAGGTAAAGCTGTGGAGGATGTGTTTGGGGATGGGAAAGAGAGTGGTGCCCACAGCTGGGCCACATCGGGCTCCAGGAGAGAGAATCTGGAAGCAGCAGGCACCTTGCAGCTTAGAGGGCCCTGCTCCACACACTTTGTTGGCTTCAAGTCCTGTTTTGCAAGGATGCTCTTCGTTTAGGTTACACAGAGATTTTAACGTCCAGGAATGAAGAAAATTTCATTTCTTCAGTGTAATAATCGTACTATAAAAAGGCCTATGTGGAGAAAGGAATTCTGGTTGAGAGTTAGTCGTTCAAAAGCAGAGGGAGATCCACCCAATCTAGATTATCTATTACGGAAAGAAATATTTTGCAGCATGTTTTGAGTGTGGATTTTAAGCCTCCTTGGTATACCTATAAATTGGGAACATCATTTAACCTGGCCTCAGTCATCTAATCTGCCTCTCTGCCAATAGCATGAAGTTTTAGGAACTTCCCCAGTCTCATACCTGTTTGGCAAAGCTGCCGTCTATTGCGAGGGCTTGTTGGCTGGGTCAGTGGGCAGCTGACCTGAAAACTGTCTCAGTGTCTCCCTAATGTTCCCGGGATGGATGTCTGTGCGTACTGGAAAAAGGGACTGGCTTATGTAGTCCATTATTATTATGGAGCCAGTAACTCAGTGTACCCTGACAGCCCTTGGGGGGATTGTTCTTACATGCTTCTTCCAACTCTAAAATTCTAGAACTCTGAGCTTCCAGGAGGAGCAGAGGTACCACGAGGGACCAAGTAGAGTGTATATGTGCATAAACAGGGAGGAGTCTGGAGGCGCGATTTGACCGTGGGTCCTGGGGTGATTCCCATGCAGAGATGGTGGACCGCTCTGTGAAACCTTTATTAAATAATCCTAAATGTCAGAAAAGGCCAGCAGCGAAGGTGATATTTAGTGATCTGGTCTGCCTTCTGAGAAGTGACACGTTCCGTGTCACAAAAGTTTAGTCTTCTGGGGACTGTGCGGAATTTGTCTAGTTAACTAACTGTACGTTTAAGGTGTACAGTTTGATGAATTTCATCCGGTGTACAGACCCACGTAACCATCACCGTAGTCAAAATACAGAGCATTCTGTCGCGCCAAAGCTTGCTTTGTGATGGGTACTTTTAAGACTCTGTCTATTTTTAAGTAACAGGTTTAAAAATAATTGGGCTTTTCCCCGTCTGGGCAGGCGTTGTCTGTTTATCTGTAGTTTGAGACCCCTTTTGAATTTACCTTTAAGGATTAATGCTTGGGGGACTTGTGTCTGTGAGTGGCTGCAGTGTATGTTGCATGTGTTTTGGGGAGTTTGAAGGGGGTTACAACGCACGTGGGTGACGGGGTCCTCTTTAATTTCCCCATGTGAGTCAGATGGCTGCTGGGTCAGGGCCCTGGGTGCATCCCTGCCATTGTCCTGGTTTCTGTTGTTACTCTCTCTCTTCTGCCTTCTAGGCCGTTGGCATCCACTGTGAATGATAAGCTGGAGCTGCAGGAGTGTCTGGAGCACGGCAGAATAGCCAAGGTTAGCCCCAGCATCAAAGCCCTCTGCTGGGGGTAAGGAGAAGGGCAGGATGGGCTGGAACAGCACCAGGGCTGTGTGTCCCGCCTGCAGAGGATGCGACTGAGGGGGTTGTGCATGCAGTTGGCCAGAGCGGGAGGGTCGGTGGGGGGAAAGCCTGGAGGGCTGGGGGAGAGGTCAGGGATCCTTGCTGCCTGCAGCCCTTCCGTGCTGAGCTCGCCCACTGGTCCTGTGGGAGGCAGACACTAAGACGTCTTTGCCGAGGTCCCTGCATCTGCTACGGCTTTTGAATGATTGAGCCAGGACCTATTGCACAAGCCTTCAGAGCAGAGCTTCTCCTGTGATGTGGAAGCTCCCTTTCTCTCTGGAGAAACCTCCTGGGACTGCTGGCACCCCAGCGGTATCTTTGCGCCCCTGAGTAATTTGGCATCCTTTTGCCTGTAAGCCACTATCCCTGGGAAAAAACAATTCTTAGGAGACTTACGAAGGACAGTGGCTCAAGCTGCTGTCTGTCAAGCCCTTGGCCAGTGGGATTGGACTGAGGATGGCCGGGTGACCTCAGTGTAGGAAGAAAAGCAGGGCAGTGGGGTCTGTGGAGGCTCACGATTGGAGCCTGACCCTGGCCCCTGGATGGACCAGGCCTTGTCACCTTTGGACGCACCAGTCCTTGGCAGGTGCCTGGCAGGAGCAGATGAGTACTCATTTCTCTTTTCCTCTCCTCGTCTTCTAGTTCAGCAAAGTGAGGACCATTACTACTAGGTCGAACTCCATAAAGCAGGGCAAAGACCAGCATTTCCCCGTCTTCATGAATGAGAAAGAGGACATCTTATGGTGCACTGAAATGGAAAGGTACCCGCTCATGCTGGTGTGGGGCAGGACAGGGTGGGAGGGATCTCCGCCTCTGCACCAGGCTCGGATCCCCTGCAGATACCCCGTGAGCAGTGGGTTTTCCCAAGCATTTCCCAACACGGCAGATTCCCGGGGGAGGACTCCTGTGCGTTGTAAGGCTGGTTTAAAGTAAGGGGGCCGTTTAGGAGTCAACCCCCGATGCCTTGGCTCCCAGCGGTCCTTCTGAGCTCCAAGGAAGCACTGCAGCTGCAGGGGCTTCCCTGCTTCACACTTGCTGATGTCATGTGCTTTGCAGACCAGGACAGTGTGGGACCAGGTGGGCCTTAAAGCACCTTAAACACCCTGCTTTGGTACAGATTGGACTTGGGCTAGATTCCTCATTCTCGGGGTAACTGCCATTTAGCCAGACAAAAAGACCATTTACACAAACAACCAGAGCAAAGCAGGAGCTCCTGACATCAGGCAAGAGTTTGGCCCCCTTGCAGACTCTTCCATTCTCTGCGGTGGAAGATACCAGGGATGTATTTTTATTACATACGGAGTTGAGATACCCACTGTGGGTCTGAATTTCAGGTGGAGCGTGTCCTGGAGGTGTTTCTCACAAACACTAACTCTGTTTCTACCGTGTGGGAAATCTCTAGGCAGTGATCATCTTAACATACCTTCAGACCCACAGAGAGTAGCCAGGCGCCTGAGTCTCGAGCAGGTTATTAAGGACACAGAATTGCCCAGGCTGGCGCTGACTCCTGCCCTCTCTGCCTTTTCTCCCCAGGGTGTTTGGCTTCCCTGTCCACTATACCGACGTCTCCAACATGAGCCGCTTAGCGAGGCAGAGACTGCTGGGCCGGTCGTGGAGCGTGCCCGTCATCCGCCACCTCTTCGCTCCGCTGAAGGAATATTTTGCTTGTGTGTAAGGGACGTGAGGGCAAACCGAGGTAGTGAAACAAGGTTTAAACAAACAAACAAAAAACACAAAACACAACAAAATACCAAGAACATGAGGATGGAGAGAAGTATCAGCACCCAGAAGAGGAAAAGGAATTTAAAACAAACAAAAAAAAAAAAACCCCACAGAGGCAGAAATACCGGAAGGCTTTGCCTTGTAAAAAGGGTTGGACATCATCTCCTGATTTTTCAATGTTAATCTTCAGTCCTATTTAAAAACAAAACCAAGCTCCCTTCCCACCCTCCCACCCCCTTTTTTTCGGTCAAACCTTTTGTTTTCTACTCTTTTCAGAGGGGTTTTCTGTTTGTTTGGGTTTTTGTTTCTTGCTGTGACTGAAACAAGAGGGTTTATTGCAGCAAAAAAAAAAAATCAGTAACAAAATATAGTAACATACCTTGCAGAGGAAAGATGGGAGTGAAGGAAAGAAGGAAATTCTATAGAAATCTATATATTGGGGTTTTTTTTTGTTTTTTTGTTTTTGTTTTTGTTTTTTTTTTTACTATGTATCTTTTTTGTTGTTGTTGTCTCTAGCCTGATCAGATAGGAGCACAAGCAGAGGACAGAAAATAGACACTCAGGCGGCAGAGTTCCCTCCCAGCCACTGAGCTGTCTTGCCAGCACCATTCCTGGTCATGCAAAACACAACCCAACTAGCAGCAGAGAGACGAGAACACCACACAAGACCCTTTTATACAGTATTCAGGTGCCTACCACACAGGAAACCTTGAAGAAAATCAGTTTCTAGAAGCCGCTGTTACCTCTTGTTTACAGTTTATATATATATGATAGATATGAGATATATATATAAAAGGTACTGTTAACTACTGTACAACCCGACTTCATAATGGTGCTTTACAACAGCGAGATGAGTAAAAACATCAGCTTCCACGTTGCCTTATGTGCAAAGGGTTTTAACCAAGGATGGAGAAAGGGAGACAGCTTGGAGGTGAACCGTTACCGTGGTGGGGTTTTTAATTTCCCCTTGGTGTTTAACAAGGTGAAGGAGGAGAATTTGGGAACAGCGTCCTCCCGTTTCTCCCTGCCAAAAAGGGGGTGAAATTCAGTGGTCGGGACCGTGGAAAGCTGAGAGTGGGATCCATCCAGGCTCATGAGATAACCTTTTGATTTTTTTCGAAAAGGAGACTCCCTCGGCAAGATGGCCGGATGAGGGGTCTTCATTCCCAATTTCTCACATTAGCCGATTCGAGGGCTCCTTGCGGTGGGGTCAGAAAAAATCCAGAGTGCGGGCAAGTGACAGTTCAGACCCCACCTGGAGCAAATAAAAAAACATACAAAACGTACTGGTGCTTTCCTGTCTAAGTCGCTTTTTGTGTGTTCTTTTATGAGGCCCCCACCATCCACCCTCTGTGCACAAGGCGGCTTCCGGCCCCTGGAATGTGATGTTTTTGGTCATCTCCAAAGGCTGCAGTTTTATACTGGGAGGCTGATGACACCTTTTGTTATAATTATTCTTATGGTTCTGGTTATAATTATGTTTGTTTTCAGATTTTCTTTAAGAAAACAAAAACCCAACCCCCCCTCCCTTTAGGTTTCAAACCAAGGTGCGGGGAGCAGGGTGCTTCTAAGTCAGTGGTGGCCCTGGTGCCCTGGCTCCCCACCCCTCGGGCCAGGTGGGCCACCGGGCACTGCGACAGCTGGGCGTCGGCCAGGGGGTCCCCGAGGCCGGCCTTCCGGGCGCGTCCCTCTTCTGCTTCCCTCCTCCCGAGTCACGTGTGTCAGGGCTGGAGGGAGGACCAGGCATCTCTCTCCTCGCGTGTGTGATTGGAGTGGTGTGTATTTCTTTTCTAGTACTTGGTCTGATGATAGCTGTGCTCTTACCTCGAGTCAGCAGCACCTGGAGCCCCAAGTGCACGACACTTGGTTCCGCTTCCCGGCGAGGCAGGCAGCCTGGTGTTGGCTGTAGGCAGGGACGGCATGTGTGGCTCCAGGGTGAGGGCCCAATGGGCAGATGCCTGCCTGGGTAGATGGGGTGTAGATAATGTGGCATATAGAGATATATATTTTATAATGGGAGGGGGGAATGGCACCTCCTGGGACTGGCAGGGCTGGGAGGTGTGCTGTCAAGCACATGGTCCCACGTTCGCATCCCTAGAAAGATAGGGCCTACGGTGATAGGCACTATATAAATACATAGATAGGGTCATGTATAAGAAATATTTTGTAGTGGGGAGCGGGGGAAGGAGGCTCAGAATGCTGAGTCTCGGGCCCCACTGCAGACAGGCCCCACACCAATCAGTCGATCCCACACGCACACACAGGAACATGTTTCTATACCGATGCGTAACGAATGCGCGTGCACACAGACACACACACACACACACACACACACACACAAACACACACACACACCACCC